CCCCCCCACCCCCACCCCCACCCCCTTAGCATCTTAATAAGCGAGTCTGTTTATTGCCTTGAGACGGAGATGATTCACTGACCTGTCACTATGCTGTGTGATCGCTGTGTCCCAGCATGTGATGTCTCACCAGCGGATATATATTTCAGCGAGCAAACAACAGATGCATAACGTGATGGTGATTATGGTATTTTGGGGCAAACATTCCACATTAGGTTTTCTCTTATTGTCGGTACAGATTGACATCATTGGTGCGTGTTTCTACGTAGAGTCACGCATGTTGGTCATGTTTGGGTTGATGTGTACAATAGACTGGGCTGACCTACATTGAGTGGGATGTTTGGCTGTTTAAATTTCCTAAAGTTCAACCAGTAAAGCGTAGCTCGAAGCGTACTTAACTGTCTCAAAGGGTTCCCGATGGATCAACGGTGTCCTTTACATTAATGTAGGCAATGTAAGCGAGCTCTTTGGTTTTAAATGTTCCTGTTTATTGTGTTTTAACCCTCTGAAGCCCAAACGTTTTGAATTTCACAGCAATATAAAAGTCCTGCACCTCTGTGGAAACAGCACAGCGATGGCTAGAAGTAGAGAGAACTCAAACATGTCTTACAATTTGTGTTACAATGCCATAAATCCTAAAAAAAAAGAAAAGAACGCAAGTTGAATTTCTTTGATCATTTCTTTTACAAAAATTGGCAAACACTGGAATCTATATATCCAACATTTGGGTAAGTGTCCACGCATGTTACCAATGTTAGGGGGAAAAATGGAGGCTCCACGTGCTGTTTATATTGAGCTATTCACATTTTTACAACCTCTACTTACAGCCTCTCCTCTCTGCTCTGTGTTCAGCAGCCTGAACTTTCGTCAAAGTTTCACAGTTTTTGTCACGTGACTGTTGGTCTCTGGCGCGTCAATCTTCCTGGTTTTGCTGAGGAGCTCAGAATTGAATGTTTTTTGAAGGATCTGGTTAAAGCCAATGGGTTATTTGTGGCAAGATTTTAAATGGGACATGTAGAATAAATGTTGATAAAATATCACAATTTTAAGCTTAGTTTTGGTTTGTTTTTCTGACGAAAGCGTTCGTCAAACATGATGAGTTCAAGGACCGTCGGAAAGATGACAATCTAACAATACTGATGGTTTTTGCAGCTTCTGGCTGTGATAAACAGTGTAGTTTTAGCGTTTGTTTAAAGAAATCTCGCCCGCTGGTTTTGGGGTTCAGAGGGTTAACGTAGAACACTATAATGTCCACAGCATGGTGGAGGCAACCCTGGATAAGTCTGCTCTTGTTAGTATCACAATAAGAAGCTCTTTGGCCCATTTGTTTTTGGTGGGTGGCATTGGTTGCACACACGTGTGTGTACTGTACATGTATGCATATAGATGGTGTGGTCCAAAATGGGTTAAAGGTCACAGGTGAATCCGTTGTTGTTGATACCAAAATATGTTAGAGTGGACGTGTCAGCATGTCCTTCACAAATTGTATTTCATTCGTCTTAAAAGCTCAGCTGAGTGAATATTGAGAAAGGCTGACCGTAATTCTGTTCCCGTGTTTGTATTAGGGGTGTTAATCTTTTGGTGCGAGCTGCCGAGTGTTGGTCGTCCGTAGAGATGTCGGCCTTCTCTCTAGTATATAATTAGACTATATGGCACTAGGCTTGTGGTGCTCACAGCAATGTAACTGCTCACAACAAGGTCTGTGGATTATCTTGAGAAACAGAGTCAGCATCTCTAGGAAGAGACGTTGCTGTTGAGGGTTTCCAATGCATTTTCTGGCACTTTGAGTGTCGTATATTCCAGTTATATTGGAGAGACGGCAGACATCTCTACTGCGATATCTCCAACACTCTGCAACTCACACCAAAGTAGCATGCACACCTATGTTGTGTTATGCTGCGTTCACACCAAACGCGTCGCGAATTATTCGCGCGAGTAGATTACATACAAAGTCTATGCACAGACGCGATGAGACTGTCGCGGCGCGAATCTGCGATGGCTCGTCGTGATGGACGTGAATTTGCGGCGCGAGGGACGCGAATCCGCGTCAAACGCCAAATCGCCCCGACGCGCGAGTTGAAATTTTTCAACTTCTGCGAAATATTCGCGTTACGCCCCGGCGCGATAGCCTATCAGCGTTGAGTTGCTCTCCCTGTCATCAGCAACGTCCTGCCGTTGCTTAATCAGAAACAATGGAGGAGAAATTAATAGTTGCGCGTCCAGCGCGATTCACGCGAATGAACACTTGGCCCCCGGCGTTTTGACCGGTGGCGCGATGGACGTGAATATGCGGCGCGATGAATTACACTGATGAGAGGAGTCGGAGGATGGTTCCTCTATCAACGTGCAAGCATATTGGTCCAAAACGAGGAAGTGGTGCGTCATCGATGGAAAGAAGGAGAAGGATGGTAGTGAAGGAGAGAGAGGAAATGAGGACGAGGATAAAGCTAAATGATTCAAAAGAAGATTGATATAATGTGACCACTAAGGTCATGCTTTCACTTGTATTTACAAAGTCACCAGCCTGATCAGATAGTGACCGGATCGATTACGTTGTGTAAAACAGTGGATTTACATGTTTCATTTTTTTGTAATTTATTATTATTATATATATTATTTATTCATTTAGTTTGCTCCTTACTGTTATTAAGAGGAGTTATTTGAAGAATAGCATCTGTGATACACACGTTACTGTCTTTAAATTCTTCACACAAGCTCTGCTTATTTGGTTTCCTGTTAAATGGTGGAAAAGGTTTTTGTAGAAAAAGAAAAAATAATATATATTTCGCAAATGGGTGTGAAAAGCAGAGTTCTTGGCGGGTCCTTCGTCCACTGAGAACCGGTTTAGTCTGGCAGCTGTAAACTAGACCATCATCTGCTGTGCTGAGTGGTTTAAATGATGACGACGAGGAGCAGCTCGGCATCTCTGAAAAAGGAAAATTGTGTAGTGCGGATTGTGGCTCTGGCTCATCCAATCACTGTGCTATACTTTGAAGTGGTTTGTTTAACTCTGATTGGCACTTTGAATTATATCCCAATTCTACAGTCCCAGAAACACAGCTGTGTGTCAGTGTGCCACCTACAGTTCAGGTTTTACCCAACTATTGTAGTTGTTGAAATGTGTGAAGTAAGAGCACATGAACCAGACTAAGAACCAGTTTGACAGGATAGTTTCCGTTCCTCCTCTGCGTCTGGAGAAACCACAATAGTTCCTCTCCCCTCGGTTGTATTTGTGTATATTTAGAAAGGGGCGTGTCCCATGTTCTGTATGAGGGGTGATAGCAGGGCTCCAATCTCGCTCACTGCTGATAATCATTTCTCCAAGGCCTAAGCAGAAGTCGTCCTTGTGTGGCACCCAATGTCTGCTTTCATTTGTTTTTGTTGATTGGTCAACATTTTCAACAGTCCTCCCCAGAGGAGACACCGTCTCTAGACCAGAACACTTAAATAGTGACAGTTGGCGAGATACAACGCCACCTTTCTGGAGTCCTGCCCTTCCAGGAGTCCGTAGTAAATCAAATAATGCCGTCATTGTTTCGTGAAGTATTTGAAAATGACTGCTCTATTGTTCACACCGCTGTAGGGCTTTGATGAGAATGTGCCCCACTATACGAAGGCTTTCTAGTCTCTTTGACACTCATCCTCTTGTTATTTCATGTCAAGCAGCTGAGCTCCGAGCTATAGTTAGAACACATCCTTGTTTCATTTGCAAATGAAAACATCAGGGTGAGGTCAGGTTGTAAATGTCTTTTATTCCAGTTGTCCTCCATTTCTTTATGTGGTAATATCTGATGACATTGAAATACGTGCATGTAAAAGTTATAAAAATGAACTTAAATTGCCCGTGAAATCAAAATGTATATATATTTGTATCACATGTATTGTGCTGGTTGTCTTCTGTACGCTAGTATATGGCTTCTTCATGGTCGTCGTCTTCCTCTATTTCATCCCCGACTGATAAAATCGTTGGTAAAAAATCCGCTGGCGTATTCGATAGTGGTAATGGTGGTCCTTTACACCAGAGAGCAGGCTGTCCTCCGTGTTTAGCTGGTGGCTAGTCACCACGACGTCACCAACTGGTGAATAACTGTTTTAATGCCACAAGTTCGACGTTTTGCCCGTCGCCATCTTGTTTTTTTGCAACCAGAAGTGACACGAGAGGGCGGAGCTAAGTACAACCAAATGCATATTTAAGACATTATCCGGAGACCGAAATGTTCCAATTAACTTTCATGAAGTGAAAACACTGTGAAAGGTTTAAAGTTGTAAGACGAAAACAGACAACTTCCAGACCGGGTAGCGACCTGTCAATCACGGTGTAGCCCCGCCCTAAAGCATCCTCTGCTTTATGGTCTGTTTGACTCTAACTGGACCATGATTTACTCAATGAACATGATGCTGTATTGAAGAAGACTTGAAACTAGAGATTGAGACCCTGATGGACATTAGAGAGAATGCAGGTTTAAGGCTCTTCTGCACTATTGGCTACTGTAAACGCCAGCTTACCGTTTTTACAATAGACGCATAAATATGTAGAATCATGAGCTGTTTCATGGCAACTTTAATATCACATTGATGTTTTCTGTATTTGTGTCAATAATTCCCTTAACTGAAAAATACATAGAGAGCTCTCCGTACGGAGCGGTGTACCTGTCCCCGCCTCTGGACAACAACTGGAGAAGGTGAGTACAAATATCTGTGTGGCTGCTGACAGAATGGTTATTGTGTTTCTTCTTCTTCCGCCAAACTTCATTATTTTACAACAGGAACCGTTTCCTCTTCCCACCCCGCTTCCTGTATCGAGCTTCTCTGTGCCTACTAGTGTCATCATCAGTGATGTGCAGAATGTTGTTTTATTTGCAGGAATGTTTGAGGTGCTGTGTTAGTCCCTGGGGAGGCGGCGTCTACCTAAAGGTGTTTGACAGATAGCCTTTTCGCTTTAAAGGTCATGATGCCCACAGCAGCCGTCCTACTGTTTCGGGATTGTATGTCGTCACAGCACCACTGCCCTGTGGTTCACAATCTCCAGCTTAGCAGAAATGTAATATCAGCACCTGCTGGACAACAATGCCACACTACTTGGCCTTGATGTGAGCTCTGGTTGTGCAGTCGGTGTACTGGGTGACGACTTCTCCTCAGTGCTTACAAGGGAGTGAGTTATGGCCCTGTGATAAAAACAAAACCGCTCCTCCCCACTCACTCTTGTGTTTTTTACGTGCTGGCTTGGCCGGCTGCCAGTCGCCCTTCCCCTCGTCTTCCTCCGCGCTGCAGACACAGACTCATTGAGAAAATGTTTCGCCGCCCGTAACATACTTGCCTCTCGTATTTGTTGGAAATCGTAGCCAGTTTGTGATACAAGCGAAGAGATGTTCTGTTTTTTGTTGTTTTTTCTACTCTATTATATTCTTTATGACAGATACTTGTTATTAAAGGCCGATATAATAACGATAAAGAGAAAGATAGGAGAAAGCAGATGGCAGATACCTATGAAGAACTGTTGATGTTGCGTTATTATTGGGGAGATGACTTTTATGGGCAGAAATAAACTGAAAATGGATCAAATATGCGTGTCAGTTTGCTGTAAAATCAGCCGTTGCACAGCCATTATCGGAGCCCAGTTCCACTGCTAGTTTGTAAAAAACTGATTGGACATCCACATTAAACGCTCTCCCGGCTCTTGTGTTGTTGAGAGTCAGATTCTCCCGCTCGACTGTCTCTGAGGAGATCGGGGTGGAGGGTGGGGAAAAAAAAAAAAAAAAAAAAACGCCAACAACATCTGCACTACATTACAGGCAATCGGCACTGGAGGAAAGCCACAAAGCTTTTTTAACCGTTTCAGTGCTTTAATTACCACAACAGCTACTACAACAATTTATCTGCTGTGTCCACCCAGCATCTCCAACACAGAGACGGGTTATTTAAGACATATACAATATAAAATACTTCGTAATTGAGACCAAATAAGTGCATTTAGGTGGCGTCAACAGGCTTGTTTTTCTCCTCATCAGGTAAGGTAATAAATGTACGCTAGCCTTTCATATTAGATTTAATGTTAAAAGTAGGCGACTATTATTAGAACAATGCAAACATTAAGGCTCCCTCATGTGGCTCAAAGGTGTACTGCAGATATAGATGTTAAACAAAAGATTTGGCGACTTAAATAAAATCCCTCTGCTCTTGAGTTTCCTCAAAGTATGATGTTGAGCATCAAAGCAACTTAGACATCGTAGACCATCTGTTTCGGGGTCAGAGCCTCAATCCAGTCTCACGCCCTCCTCCTCGTCCACTCGGCCATCTTTGGTCTACTATTCCCGTACCAGCCTCTCTCGGGAGGACTTTCTCAGACCGAGCTCCCTGGAGATGACTCTGTACGAAGAGAGCTGAACATATCCCTCTTTGGGAGATGCAGTGTGATGATTCAAATATGTGTGTTCTGATCACCATCGCAACTCCAGTGAGATTTACACACACAGGAGAGACAGGAGAAATACTTATTTCTCAGTTATTTCTCATGGCGTTCTCCAAAAAGAGGAATGTGGACAGATTAACCAGAGTATTTAACCATGGGCAGTTTAAAACCAGTATGTCTCACGTGTTCAGTTTAAAACCAGGAAGTCTCACGTGTTCAGTTCATATGTATTCAATATATATATATGGGACTAAATCATTGTGCAGGTTAGACATTATTGTGATGTTGTGGACCTTTGATGAGGACATTCTCTCTAACCTAAGAGATGTCATCGTGTTCCCAGGTCTCTGCACTTGTTTTGAGTACAATGTTTTCTTGACCAAAAGAAACAAAGTCACCGTGTAAATATATTTGAAGGCGGTTCAGCACCAACAGGAGATTCATTTGAGTTATTTTGTGGACCACTTGTGCTCTCAGAAGACTACTGTGGTTGTTTCTAAGTACTGAGGAGGAGTCGAGACCCTTCTTGTGCTGGAGTGCTTCAGAAAAATCCACTCAGTCACTGTTTCAGGCTTCAACAATGACCCTCCACATCCAGTGTTTTACATCCTGTCTCTCTCTCTCTCTCTGTCTCTCTCTCTCTCTGCCTCCCTCTGTGTCTGTCTCTCTCTCCCCCCTCCCCATAAGCTGCTCATTAGCAGTTTTATAAATGTGTCTTCACTCTGCTTTTGATTTATTCTGTCTCTCCATTTTCTTTCTCTGCTCAAATGTAGGACGGTGTTGTGTTGTGTCGAGTATTTTTCCAGGGTCTCTCTTCCTTCCACACGAGGCTCATCGTTCTTAATGTAGTTTCTCTTCTACACACAAACTTTTAGGAGGCGCGGTCTCTCATCCAGTAAACGTCTGTCATCTCTTTCCTCTGTGTCTCTCTGTCTCTCTCTCTGAAGGGAACAGCAGTCATGGACCGAGGAAAAACGGCCTGGGTTGAGATTATTATCGCAACTCAACAGGTGACCCTTTCTCTCTCTCTCTCTCCCCCTCTCCGTGTCTCTCTTTCCCCTCTGTCCATCTTTGCCGCTTCATCCCTCGCTCACACAGAGGCCAACCATTCTGCTCCTTGTCTTTTTGCAATCTCTCCTGGTCTCAATCCTTTTGTAAATCTCAGTGATCCCCTCTTTTCTTCCTCTGAAGCACTGAGATAGAAGGCTGAGACACAAATCTCAACTCAAGACTGTTTGTGGTTGATTAACTCTTTTTCTTCTCTCTCCTGAAACAATAATCAATAGTTCCTCTCTTACTCACCCAGCTTTAGGACTCACGGCTCCTTCGCACTCTAACATCAAGGCTCCCTTTTCACTTTTTCACATTGTCTTACTTTCAGCCTTTTCCCATCCTCTTTCAAGTGTCTGTGAAAAGTTTAGAAGTTTTCTGAATTTAAAGAAAATCCAGTTTGAGTTGACGACAGAGATGGGTTCTGAAGTCAGGCCTGTGTGTGTGTGTGTGTGTGTGTGTGTGTGTGTGTGTGTGTGTGTGTCTCGTTTTTTTGGTGCCCATGTTAACAGGTTAGAGCAGCCAGACCACCTGTGTGACGTGCACCTTTAACAGCAACAACAGAAATTCTTATGATAACATATTGACATCATACCAGCAACATTCCTACAGTTTGAATGTCTGTATCTGTTGAATATGTCGCAGACAGGAAAAATATAAATGGCATTTTTAATAAAACAAAACTGTTGAGGTTTTCCGATAAAGGAACCGGTATCCGAAATGCCTCCGATACAGCCTTATATTGTTATATATATTAATATATATTATATATATATATATTGAGTGCCATAATTGACAGATAAAACCAAACTTGGCACCTCTAAAAGCGTCATGTTTTGGATGAATCAAACTGTGTGATTGCTACAGTTCTGCTATAAAGTGAGAGCAGGAGTGACTCATGGAAGAAGCCGTTGAGGCTGAACGGATCGCACTAGAGAAAGCTCTCAGCTGGAGCGGTACAGGACTCGGGGGGGCTTGTGTGGGTCGGACCATGAATGTGTGTGCACAAGTGAACACGTTTGACTTCACAGCTCGTATTAGATACGTACAACCATGACGACAACTAATCTCTTGTAGCTGCCAATTGCCCTGTGTTTCCCTGTATCGGTACATTTATGGATAACAAACATTTTCATCATTATTTCATCACTCAGACTGATCCCAGTCCTGTGAGGATGTTTTTTGTGTGAGTGAGGTCAGTGTGATCAGTGCAAGTGAATGCAGCATGTGTGTGTGGAGGCAGAGCAGGAAGCAGAATGACTCGCACTACGGCCCTGAGAAATCCTCTGCCTCTGTCCAAGGTGCTGGAAAACCTGTCATCATTTTCCTCCTCCTCCGTCCCACACAGAACCAACTCAGACTCTGCTCTCCATACGAGCGTCATGAACCCAAACCCCCAAGACCCCTTTGGCATGAACCAGCAGATGGGTCGAGGTCCTCTCCAGCGCAATGGTGAGAGTAATACACACACACACACACACACACACACACAAGCTATTCACCCTCAAAGAGAGCATTTTCTGTGTTTGTGTGGTGTCTTACAAGAGATGTTCTTGTTTTAATCTGTCCATAAATCTGCTCTGTTTCTCGCTACTACAGTGGCACAATTTAAAACCTCTTGTAGAGACCTTTAAACCAATTATATACGTGATAGATATATATATCTATATATATAGATATATAGATGGATTCATAGTACGCCGGAGTCGCGATTAGGCGTCACGCTTCGGTGCTAGTTCGGTTCAGCAGAAAAGGGCAGGTCTTCCAGCTCCGGCGTTTCATTTATGGTCGTCATTGTGTGGCTTAGGTATGCGCCAATACCACTCACAAGTACTTATGTTTGAGTACTAGCCGCTACCGAGTACTTAATAATACAATCACAACTTTGTCGCTGACAATTTAGCATTCAACATTGTGGTTTCCTTGTACAAACAGTGCATAGTTCTTTGCAGGAGGGATGTTAATTATGAACTGTTTATCGGTTAAACGGTTAAAAGAAATATTGAAAATAAGAAACTCAGAGGAGCGGCTCGTCACATAAAGGAGGATAGCGCTAGTCCACCTTAAGGTCTCTATTGCACATTGAAAGAGAATGGGCACATCTAGTGTGAGAAGTTCAACAGTGTTCGGGCACAAATTCTTCTTCAAAGCTGTTTCATTTTATATCTTAAAACAGGTCTGGATCTTCACGTTTGTTCTACACCATGTACTCTCCTACCAACTTCTTTTTTCCTTACAAACAAAACTTTTGACGTAAAAACTATTAAATCTGCATTAGATGTTAGAAATCTCATTTCAGGAACTCAAGTCATTCGTTATTATCGTTGCCTGTTTAGAGAACTGCTGCCTCCGACACCTCCTCACTGTAGACGTGTTCATTTATTCAGATACTTTATAATTTAGTCTTATTGTATTTAGTCAATTTTGGTCCAAAGAAAAACAACCAATTTAACAGAGTAATACTTTAATATTTTTGTCTTTTTCAGTCATTAGATTAGATTGAACATTTCAGCCAATCCAGTCCAACCAAAATATCAACTTGTTTCTTTCCCCCGGGCCCGTTGTACTCATTGTTCACTTGAAGTTACTGAGGGAAAGTTAGTGGTCCATGTGGACTAAAGCGGTAGTGTTTACAAGCACCAGAGTCCCTTTAGAAAACCTCTCATTTTACTGCAGCGGATGACGTCTCGTCATGGAAATAACATCAATGACGAATGTATTTACTCACTGGTTTTGTTTCACTGCACTGCAGTTATGAGAACAGAGCTCGCTGTGCTGGTTGCCAGTCTGGCTACATTGGATTAATCAAATTGACATAGTTATTAAATGCCTTTCTGAATTACCACATGCCCAAGGTTGCTCCCTACATAAAATCATATAGGCAGGAAAACATCCTGGAGAGTCTGAGCAACATCCACTTGTGTATTGAGACGTCACCTAAAGTACATTACACTTTGTAGAAGAGTAATGTAGAAGTGCAGCTGTGTGTGAGCAGAGCATGCTTTTCTCAACCAGACATCCTCTCGGTCTCATGCAGGCTGCTCCCGTATGGGCCCATGTCGTAGTAATCATGCTAGTTTATAGTGTTTGTGTTTCTCTTCTGCTGATCATTTATTAACAGAGAACACAGTCCATCCAGCCGGCTGCTTTGCAGTCTCGTTAGCCACTCAGCTGCACAACTCACAGTCAGGCCTTTGTTGGTTTAGAATGTTCTCTTTATAACCTAGCAGTTATTGTAATCGGTTCAAAGAATTCATCCTCCGCTCTCCTGAGCTGCTTCCATCTGAGCGTCCAGCGGGTTTCTGATGAAGTGTGGAGTGGATGAGAGAAGTTGTCCTGCAGCCGAGTACCACTCACTGTGTTTAGCCAACAAGTTTAAACAGGATATTGCCTTAAGATGTGAGCCAAGTGTGAGTTTAACATACAGTCACCCCAGTGTGGATACATGAGTTACAGCACACTGTCTGTTGTGCTTTAAATGGCTCACCTTAGGTGTGTGTGTGTGTGTGTGTGTGTGTGTGTGTGTGTGTGTGTGTGTGTCAGTAACTATTATTTTCATTATATCAAGTAATCTATTTTCTTGATCCATCGAGTTCCCAGAGCCCATAGTAACGTTTTAACGTTTTAAAATGTCTTGTTGTGTCAAGACGACAACCTCCGGTTCTGAAAAGTGAAGCCAACACACAGTACAGTCTTCTTGCATAGCCTGCTGTATATATAGTCCACCAGCACATACTACACATAGCTGCCCGGGCTCTATATCATCACAAAGAGGCAGACCGGTTCAGCAGCGCAGCCTCGTCGACACCTCCGAAGGTCCCTGTGGGTTTCGAGGGGTGTCGAGCCCCGGCTGGTTAAAGAAGCGGACTAGGAATCACAGCTGCGAGTCAGACTGCCGGGGTGGAAACACAGAGCAGAGGAGTTCAGCTGCAGTCTTTTTGGTGTGTTGGGTAATCTCTTTTCTGACAATTGTTGTCATTAGAAAAAAGAAGCAGTCGTAAAAAGATCTAATGTGAAGCTCTGCAGCTGAAAGGCATCTGATTACTGCGATGCTCTAGGAATAGACGGTGACTTTGTTTTCTTCTTAATCCTGAGCGTTTACAACACCCATATCGAATACATCGCACAGTGTAAGTGATCCAAGCGACACAAGCCAGCAGTGTTTCTTCCCAGTTGCTCCTCTGTTGTATCTCTTCATTGTTTCATCTGCTCCCTCAGCAGCCAAAAAAGCTGCCTCTCAAAATGAGCTTTAAGGCCTTTACACACAGGCGGCGTGACAAATTAACAACACAAATATTTGTTATTATTTATTATTATTTGTTTGATTTTGCAACAGTTGCGTCGCCTTTTCAGTCTAAAGGTTTGAATAGATTCTTGCAGATTCTTTCTGTTGTAAAGCCTAAACTGCTGTAAGATATTTGATTGAGTGAATTTTAGTTCCCTCTGGTAAACAGTTGTGCAATGTACACGTCTAGGGCTCTTATTGTGAAGGAGGGAGGAACGGGCAGTGGTTCAAGTGCTGATGTGAAAGCGATGAGGAGACTAGAAGATGACATCAAGAGACACAGAAAAACAATATTTCCTTAATAAGTAACAGCGCACAGGAAGTGTTGCGATCAAACACGAGTCGGTCAAAGGAATGAAGGATGTGTATGTGGCGTCGGGTCTTCAGTGAGGAGGAAGAGAGGGCTCTTTTGTGGCACAATAAAAACAATGGCCGTCTCTTTCCTCCTCCTCCTCCTCAGTCTATGACACCCCCCGCTTCAAACTTTTAGTGTGTATTCCTGTCAGAGCGACCGATTATTGTGCCAGACATGCCGGGATAATTCAAACATATCCTCTAATGTTCCTTAGCTTTAGTTTTTTATGTCTTTGCTTTATTCCCCCCCTTCTTTGTTTGTTTGTTTGTTTTTCTCGTGGAGGCTGGAATGCAGCCAGTGTAAACGAGTCGGAGGTGGACGGCTCCGCAGATGGTGAGTTGAACATTCCTTGAGCAATCGAGACGTCGTCAGTATCAGCTTGGCTGTGAACACGCACGTTTAATTCACCTTCCTCTCTCCGCAGTCTTCTCCTTCCCCGCCCTGACCAACGAGGACAATCTGTTAGGGGTCGGTAAGCCGCTGCCCAAGCAGCTGTGGGAGGCCAAGAAGGTGAGGCTGCTCGCTTATCACTTGCTACACCAATGTCCGTCTGATAGCCTAGTGACTATCTTCTGAATGTTGTGGTATTCACTGCTATCACATGTGGGTGCAACGACTGAATCGGTACACGTGCTACCACGGTACATCTTTGTGCCGGAAAGCTGAACAATCTACAGTTTGCAATCAACCCTGGAAACAGTATTCTAAGATTAAAATGCAGTGTTGGAGAGTTGTTATCTAATTGTCATTTTCTCTGTCTCAGTCTCTGGCATCGAGGCCTAAATCTTGTGAAGTGCCTGGAATCAAGTAAGTTTGAAAGTGTATTTATTGTTTTGCTTAATCACAAATAAACCTTTTTCTTTTTATTCGATTGCACCAAAATCCTCATCAGTGTGACGTTAACACAAAGCATTTATCACGGGCATAAAAGCGCTGCTGTAGCTGGTCAACAGAGAGGAGATGCGGCTCATCCTCACCTCGTCAGACAGGATGTCTGTGTTCCTCTTTACACCTTTAACCCTAAAAGAAGAGGAACAGAGTTAGAACAATCAGATTTGTTTTCCCTCTGCAAGCCACATCCGGTGTCATGTCATGATTCAGAAGCAAACGGTTTTTACCAGCAACTCATTCGCTTTTGTTGCCAGCACGTTCGGGCATAATGTAGAGGTTTTATCGTCACACACAAAGCAATACAGTCTTCTGTAGAGACTTAAGATATTCTTGATTGATCTTTATTTCATGCTGCCTCTTTATCTGACAGAGAGAGACACCATTTGTGTGTTTTGTGGAGGCAAGCCTTTGTTCTTTGTTTTGGGCTCTGTGTTTGTGAGTGGGGACGGACAACAATGAGTCACTGTTGCTGCTCATACGCTGTTAATGCAGCATATGAGCAGAAATGGAAATTAGAGAAATAATGGAGGAAATGGAGTGAGTGGGTGGGGGGGAAGAGGACGGGGGTCAAAAGAAACATCTTTTCAGTTTGAAATGGCAATGGCAGCACATTTAATGGCCCTGCGTTTGATTATGCACGATATTTACAGTCATTAAAAAAGGCGATCGTGAGCGTCAGCATCTAAACGAGTTTTCTCTGTACGTTTGTTGCAGTATATTCCCGTCTCCGGAGCAGAACCCGGGTCTGTCCCACTACCAGGGCTTGTTAAATACCAGCGGCTCCCTGCCAGACCTCAGCAACCTGCACTTCACCTCGCCACTCTCCACGCCGCTGGACCCGGAGGACAACGGAGGCTACTCCAACCTCAGCGGGGGCAGCAGCACCGGAAACCTGCCGGCCGCCATGATGCACCTCGGCATCGGCAACTCACAGGGTGGGTGGAGAGCGCGTGCACGCATGCATGCGCCGGTGCTTTTGTAGGTGCTTGTGTGTGTGCGAGGACGAGGGCATGGTTTGCGAGTTCGCCCCCCCCCCATTGACATGTGACGCATTAAACAAAGCAGTGTGTAGATATACATGGTTATTTGTTTGGTAGCTTTTTTATTTAATGTTTATATTCGCAGGAGAAAGATTGTGAAAACGATTTATAGATCGATCCCAAATTGGTAAATCCTTGTGTTACAGCAGCAGGCTCTCCAGACGTTACACAGGAACATTGATGAAGAGTAAAGGTGCAACGGATCATGGAACTCACGCTTTTCAGTCACGGATCAGATCAGCACAAAAAACGAAACGGTTATGTCCTGATCACGTTGTTTTACTGCTGATACCAATTGCCGATCGCCTTATCGGTCAAAACACATATACGTGTTGTTTTGTTATAGCAGCTGGTCTACAAGGCTCAAGACCTGAAAAATCATTTCAACCACTCTGAAGTCAGAAGCTCATCAAAGGTTCTACATTTCTTCTGACACATTCTTCACTACTTTAGCTTCAGATGACAGAGATCTGATATGTAATGGATCCGGTTGTTGTGGTTAACTCCTCGGCTGTTTACTTCTGATTTAACTCATTTAAGTGGCCGTGGGGCACTGAAACACTTTTTGTTCCGTGAGGTACTGAATGAAATGAACTGAGACTCGTGGTTCTTGAGGAATGTCGGCCTCCGCTCCGGTACCGTCACTTACCAGAATTTGTCTCCTGTTGCCTAGCAACGCAACTCTAACCATAGTCCGCGTTGTCGTTCAGCGTGTTATCTGAATCTACTTATTCCGTCCTTCTGAATCATCATCATCATCGTCTGTGGAGTTTTCTAGTCTTTTGCCAGTTTCAGGTCTCCTCCTCTGCCAGCCGACCGTACGTTCTGCATCGCTCTCTGAATGATCTCTCTGTCTCCCACTTCCTCACTCCGCTGCCTGACCTGATCACACTCCCTCTCAGTGTTTCCTCCCTTGTCGAACACAGTTCAGCTTGGCCGAGCACCAAAGCGAAAGAGGCACTTTGACCCCGTTCCGGCTCGCTACAACCGGCTCTTTTCTTTTCCCTTTAGATTCCCCCTCTGTCTTCTCATTTTCCTTCTGCTCTGCGTCTTTCTCTCCCTCGGTCGCACAATACAGTATTTTTGTGTTGGGGACTGGAGAGCACATACCGCATCATAACTTCCACATGTTCCCAGTTGATTTCCAGTGTCTGCTGCGGATTCACAGCCACCTTTTTTACGAGATTCATTCTGATGCACATTTACACTCTGATATTTATCCCCCCACATGAAGGTCTGTCCTCGTCTCTGAGCAATCCCTCAATTCAGGGGTCCCTCAACAACTGCCAGCTGCAGTCGTCGCTCAGCAATCCCTCCATCAACTCGTCCCTGCGTCTGTCCAGCAACTCCCCCCGGCGGCGGCAGGCGGCCATCAGCCCCCTCACGCTGTCTCCTGGCACCGAGCAGCGCAGAGGTCTGGCCAAGCAGCTGTCTCCCACCATGTCCCCCTCGCTGTCCCCCATCACACAGGTACGCCTGCCTTCACATCCCTGAATAACAAAGAGGGATTGTTTACTCTGTAACAGTATAATCTTATATTCATGTGTCCATGATGATGCAGAAGTATCAGCTGCCGAACCGCCAGACTTCAAAGCAGCTTCTTTCCTCTGGGCTGAGAGACTCATCCTCCAGCCGCAATATAATTATAGTTTCTGTTTTACTTGTGTAGCAAAATGGGCCAACAACATGCATTTCGTTTGTGCAACCCTGTTGAACAAACGACCATGGAAAAACCTTGTAACTATAAAACTGAGTAGTATAAGAATCTCTTTGTGCAGACTAAGAAAAAAAATCAAAAAATAACTAATGTACAACGATGTAAAATAAAGTCTGACATCCAAGTGAAAAGTCTTGCCAGTGCAAAAAGAAAGAATACACTGGTGCATTTGTTTTTTACTCCTGCTTTGATGGGGAGAGTGCAGCTGACTAATGACGTTACAATCGGATTAAATCAACTTCAAGTCCAAACTCTTTTGCAGTCAGTCTTCAGTGACTCGTGCTGGCTTTCTCTGTTCTGTGTAGGGAGTCGCTTTGGATACCAGCAACATGCCAAGAGAGCCGCCGCCACCCTATCCGCTCTACCAGCAATCCCAGCATGCAGTGGACCAGGGCCGGCAACACCAGCACCAACACCAGCACCAACACCAACACCAACACCAGCAGCAGCAGCAGCAGCAGCAGCAGCAGCAGCCTCTTTCCCCTCTTCAGAGCATCCAACTGGACTTCAACACGAGCCAAGTAAGTGCCATGAAGAGCGTCTTTGTCAGTGTGTGTGGAAGGCATGCTGGCACACACACACACACACACACACACACACACACACACACACACAATCATAGTTAGTGCCCCAGTCTTTGTGGTGTTCTGTGCACTCTTGATGATCATAATCTACTTTTGTCTCCCTGCAGGGCAGAAATTAATGCAGGAGATTAGATTCAACATTGTAACTTTATTAACCCACGTCAGTGGCGGCTGGAGACTCAAAAAATAGGGGAGGACATTTTATTTAGCCTCCATTTTATGTATGCTGCTTAAGTATATGTGCTCCTGTGTTCCTGATCTGTGTCATGTAGGGGAGGCTTACACTCTGTAAATCTTACTTTGAGTACTTTGTGAAAGTGCTGCATCAATATAATTGTTATTATTACACGAGTTAGCCGCTTATCCACTTTCTTGTGTTCAAATTCAAAGTTAAGCAGTTAAACGATGGCAATAACGGCTCTTGATGGGAATGAACCTTGTCTGGGTAATGTGTCAATATTTTCTCAGAATCCCTAGTTTTGTCCGACCAAAAGTCACATAGAACCAGCAAACGCTCACATAGAACCAGCAAACGCTCACATAGAACCAGCAAACGCTCACATAGAACCAGCAAACGCTCACATAGAACCAGAAAACGCTCACATAGAACCAGAAAACGCTCACATAGAACTAGCAAACACTCACATTGGAGAAGATCCCCCCCTCCTAAACAATGAATCAGTTATCATCTGACTAGTCAACTTATCATTTTAGCCCGAGCAACCCTTAATGGTTATAATGTGATTATAGTCTCGGGTAGACTTTAGTTATTTATTTACATCACACATCATATTAAACAGTTTTCTTTCTCTCCAGATTTGATGATGTTTTGGGATTTTTTTTTTCTTCTTTTCCCCTCACAGCACAACAACATGGCGGCATTCTTCAACGACCCCTTTATGGAGCAACAGTTTTCCAATCGCCAGACCAAGACCCACCCCTATCAGGTACAGGTTGACACACACACACACACAACCGTAAACACACGTTGAAGCACTCAATCATTAGTCAGAATTACTTTTCAACCAGTAATGTTTTCAACCAGTAATGTTTGGTTGTTAATAGCGTTGCAACAAGGAAAACACAGTGTCGGCCTGTTGAGCGTTTCCTTATCGCCACGAAAGTGGCTGCTGACTGTAAACTGTCTGTAGGAAATGGACGTAGTCATTGTTTTTTTGCAACCAATAAACGCAAGTTATCATATTTGCGATGTGGAGGAGTGACGTAGAGACACTGTGTACGGCTCTGCTAGCGGCAGCGACCTGTCAATCACAGTAAGCATCCCCTGCTTTATGGTCTCTGTGACTCTAAATGGACCATAATGTACTAAATGAACATCATGCTGTATTGAAGAAGACTTGAAACTAGAGATTGAGACCATAAACTCATGTTTACAATGTTTACTGAGGTAATAAATCAAGAGAGAAGTAGTCATTTTCTCATAGACTTCTATACAACCAGAGGAGTCGCCCCCTGGTGGACACTAGAGAGAATGCAGCTTTAAAACACTTAATTTCCAGAGTTGGGAAGTCGTTACAACTGTGTTTGTTCATGAGCTATGTGGGGAAAAAAATGTGAACACTACAAAGAAGATGCTTTGTATTTTAAACAACACGTTGATAGCTGTTCCCAGTATTTGCCAGACAACGAAGAGCAAAGGAAACGGATGAGTTAGGAAATATGTTTACCCCGACCGACATTAGTGTCAAAAACATTACGTGAATTAATAGAAAGAAATCTTACCATCAACACATTTACTTTCGTCTCCAATGTTTCTGCGTAATATGACGTCAACTCTGCAAGTTGTTTACCAAAATGTTCTCACTTGGGGGGCCTCAGTTCCGATTATCCCGACAGCACATGAATGCAGCATAAACCCTGACGTGGTGATCGAGAACCTTGACTCAAAGCAGATTCTACTCCGTACACAGACGTGAACCCTTTACAGGTTACAGCAACAGAATTTCATCAGCCAATAAATGATGAGGATTTTTTTCAGCAGTTTAACAGGAGAATTATCTCTGTGGCATCAGTTCATCATGTTTTTGTAGTAATCAAGTTTTTGTCAGACCACAGAGCTCAACAGAGTTTGTCTTTGCCGTCAGCAGTGCTAACGAGGTCTCCTATGGGCTGTGGATGTTGTGAGAAAACACTTGAAGGCACCACATAGAACCAGGCTGCCAATGTGAACTCAACAACTGATTCTTGTCTTTCGTTTGCCATTTTTCTCTCCGCCATCTGCCGTCTAGTTGGACCAGTTCGCTCTGTTGGAAAACGCGATGAGCTCCACAGCGGGGGGTTCCTGCTTCGACCCCTCCTCCTCTCTGCTCTACTACTCCCAGGCCGCCCTCTCGGGGCTGGGCAGCAGCCACGGCAGCCTGCAGGACCCGATGCACATGAGGTCCAACATGATGTACTCCAACTGCAGCGGAGGACTGCCCAACATCATACTCACTGGTGAGTTTTAGTGTTGGCCACCACAGGTGCATCCTGGGAAAGATGTTTATTTTGTTTCCTTTTTAAAGCGGCAATCTTGGAAGATTTTCATCAAGTAAAAGTGTGTTAAGTGGGTATCTATCGCCGTACGAGGTAACACGGAGGTCATGGAGCATGTAGTGCACTGATGTAAGTATTGCAATATTTATATTACGAACCTGGTGCGTTCCAGACAACTAAAAACTCCTACTAGGAAGATTAGTGTTTATGGAAACAGCTGCTGCTAAAAACGAGGCTGACGAGTGCTGAGACTGAGCTGTTTGCTGTATTTTCAGTTTTCAGTTTGTGATGAGAGACGAGGGAAAAAGACTTGAGATAAAGTACAATGTCCTTTTACCACAGCCGGCCTCTGAAACATATTTCACTGAATGCAAATATTATCAGTGTGTTGTCATGTTAGTGATTCAAATCAAAGAGCAGCGTTTGCAGAGCAGCTTGTTTTTCGTGAATCGAGCGTAGTACGCTGATATGAGCTCACAGGAGGAAAGTGAGCTCATCTTCATGAGGACTTGAGTGCTGATACTTGGGTCTAACTGCACAGACGGTGATGCTCCAGTTTAAATGTAAAGGAGGAGAGTGTCGGATGTACTTAAAAAGAAGGGAGGTGTCATGACTAATGATGAGGGCAGTGAGACTGTTAGCTAGAGCGAGAGGGAGTGTTTTTCCAGACCGGAAGAAAACATTCTCTCTCTCTCTCTCTCTCTCTCTCTCTCTCTCTCTCTCTCTCTCTCTCTCTCTCTCACTCTCACTCTCACTCACACAGATGACTCCAACTCCAGTCTGTCCAAGGACATCAGCAGCGCTCTCTCTACGGTGCCTGAATGTTTTGACTCGGAGGGATGCTTCCCGTTGGAGGACGAGCTGCGCATCGAGCCCCTCAGCCTGGACGGTCTGAGCATGCTCAGTGACCCCGACATGGTGCTGCCGGACCCGTCTGTGGAGGATACTTTCCGCAGCGACAGACTCTGAATGTAAAGAGCAGCGGCGGAAAGAAGAACTCTAACACGGACCTGCAATGTATAGAGTGTACAAATCAGAATATGCATGCAAACGATCTCTATCGGGCCACTGTGCATGCGTCCACCGCCACTAAGATTAATTTAAATGTGAAAGACACCGTGTGCACAGTCATGCACACACACACTTTTTAAGGAGACTTGTGAACAAACACTGTTTACACTAAAGTTGCCCCTCGTAATGCTCCAGCTTGTTCCTCTCAGACATTCTTATAACGAGGCGGATCGATGCAGTTTGGGTTTTTAAATCAGCTCTGAGAGTCTGCACCTCCTGCAGACCACAAGGACTCTCTGTCTCTGTCTCTCGCTCTCTCTGTCTCTGTCTCTCACTCTCTCTGTCTCTTGCTCTCTCTGTCTCTCTCTCTCTGTCTCTCTCGCTATCTCTCTCATCACCAGCTCACAGCCCCCTGAAGCCATGGCAACCTCATTGCCATGGTTACACACCATAGCAACCCCCATTGCAATGCTGAAGAGCAGTAGGAATGCCAACACACACATTAACTTTACTTACGGCACATCTGGCAGCCCAGGAGCAGTGACATGTCGGTATAAAACATATGGCAGCGCAGGAGCAGT